CGACATTACACTCATCGAGACCTTTCATTTGAGTATCCACATCAATTTTTTATATATTTTATATATTTATATATATGAATATATGAAAAATATATTAAAATGCATGTGGGTACTCAAATGAAAGCTCTTGATGAGTGTATTATCAGGACGAGCTTATATCTTTCAAAACGTCAATATTTAAGAAAGTACAGTGCAACTTAACAAAAGTCATTATATAATAAAGCAAAATTTTAATTATTTATAGTTCACAAGTCACGGCAGTCACATAGTGACTGCAAGGTTGCTAGTATGAATAATTCCAAATAAATCATAAAAGAATATGATTCAATATAGATTCACAATAAATTGTGATATAAATTGATGATTAGTAATAATTATTGTATCAATTTTAAAGATTGCTTAATTAATCGAAGAAATATTACAAAAATTGATTTCAAAATCAAAAATATTTAAAAAATAATAACACATGAAAATAAAAAATGTCCATATTTTTTGATTACAGATATCGAAGCTGAATGTCAAGATGATTACATGAAAATACGTATCGCTTTCAATGGATCATTTGCCGGACTTTTGTACTCAGCTGGTAAGAATAAAATATAAGATAAAACAAAATTAAAAAAAAAATTATTTCTCACGCGGTCTGCTACAATTGAATAATCCTGAGTCACGATAAATGGGAATGTAATTGTTACGAATGAAATTAAATTGGCTGTATCTGAAAGGTAGATCATGAAAAAATCTAAAAAAATATAAATAAAGAAAAATAATGAGTTGCGAATAGTGAGCTTGATGACGTGGAAAAAAGGCGTGTAACATCCCGATAATGATAATAACGATGATGATGATGAAGAAAGAGGTGTTATACTAATGATCGAAGACCGTTGTTCGAAATTGATCGATATCGATCTTGTGTTTGCGAGATCATATACATCCACCCCTCGCGGCCGATTGGTGAATTTGATGAGAGACAATTGCTCCTTAATTACAGGTTACTCTTACGATCCAGACTGCATGTACGTCAACGGTACTGGAAGGGATTACTACGAGTTTTATATTCAGCTTAACCGATGTGGTACTCTTGGGGAGAACACTCATCATCAAGATAGCAGGAAAAATCCAACGGTAAGAATGTTTATTGGATAATAAATTATTTATGCTTTTAAGCGCAATAATTATAATAATTTAAGTCCTGGCTTGGTTCTGATTCTTGAAAAAAAAATTTTTTTTCTAGATAACTTGTTTTCAATGAGTAAAAAATTGTTTTAATTTCAATTTATTATAACTTCCTCTTTGTGTATTGAACTATAATATATTATTGAATCCTTATTAATTAGTCATTTGAAATATTGGCCTAACCCATTACCAAATTAAAAATTTAGTGAATAATTCTCTAATACTAAATTGCAGTAAAATTTTAACTTATTGACATAGTAATTAGAAAAATTGGCCGTTTTAAAATAAACTTCTAAAAATTTAGTAAGTCTAATAGACTTTTTACTTTTAAATCAATTATTTTTTAGTAATTTAAAAAGTCAGGAGATCCAAATTCACGATAGAATTGGTAGAAAAATAGTTTTGTCATTTGTGAAATTTCACTTTCCAATTTATAAAAAATTTACTGAATCAAAATGTGACTATTTCTACTACTTTAAAATATTAATAACTACTAACTACTAGTAGCCCTTGTTAAAAAAAAAAAAAAAAAAAAAAAAACAATTTAAAATCATTCAATTCATGTAAAGTATATGTCTATACAGTAGTCAACTCAAATCATTTTGAATTGATTCAAATTGTTTTTCTTAATAAAGAAGTATACTTTGAAAATTTTGAAAAAGTAACTAATTAATTATCAATTACGAATTATCAATACGAATTATGAATGAAAAAATTTTGACAATGATTTTTTTATATTTATAATTACACTGTGCATGATTTGGGTACTTTTTAAAAAAATTAAAAAAATAATAGTGCTGTCACAGGGTCGATTACAAATAATTTAATGGACAAATGCGACCAAATAAAGTTATAGATCCAAAAAACTATTAAAACTCCTCCAAAAACAACTTACAAAATTGACTATCACTGAAAAATATATAAAACCGTGAAAAGGCACTAATTCTTTTGTCTCGACCTTTCTGATGATACCAAATTAAACTTTAAAAATTTCTTTAAAAATAATAATATGCTCTCAAAAAATTCTCCTTTTCCTCTCAATTATTTAAATCATAAATAACTATCGCTAAAAAATATCAAACCCAATTTACGATAAAGATATATACCCGATACTAAATTTTTCTTAGTCTCTTAATTATACAAATTTTTGACACATAACCATTTTGACGTGTACAAAACAAAATAAATAGATAAACAAATTTTGTTTATCGCTAAATTCGAATCTATTTATAACTTCTTCGAAAACTTATCATAATAAATAAACTATTTTGCAAAAGCATATGAAACATTGAAGAGGCACAACTTCAGGTCAAGACCTTTCCAACGATACCAAATTTAACAATAAAAACCCATTTTATCATATAAATACACGCCACAAAATTTCGCTTATTCTCTTAATAATATAGATTAGTGGATTTTTTACTAATTAAGTTTTAGAGTTAAACTCTTAGTCGGTCAAAGAGTATATGAATTATCACCCCAATCCTTAAAAAATAATAATAATCATTTTTTTTTCAATAGAAAAATTTGATGTGGAATACCGTAACAGTTCAATACAATCCACTCATTGAAGAAGAGTTTGACGAGCATTTCAAAGTAACTTGTGAATATGGTTACGATTTTTGGAAAACTGTGACATTTCCATTTTTAGATGTCGAGTAAGTTTTTTTTTTTTAATAATTAAAAAATTTATTATTTATGCACTTACAAAAAAATTAATTTGATTAAAAAAAAATCATTTTGAATAAAGCAAAAATTCTTGAGTTAAGAAATTTTTCTTAGTTCAAGTAAGTTTTATTTTTTTCAAGAATTTTTCTTTTAAATCAAGTTAATTTTTCCTTTTAGTTAAATTTAAAAAAATGCATTTGAATTTTTTTAAAAATACTATTAAAAAAAAAATATATATATATATATATAAAAAAAAAAAAGAAATTTCAATGTTAAAAAGTAAATTTGTATAAATATCTAAAATGTGTATTGCAGAGTTGCAACAGGGAATCCAGTTGTTTTTACATTACAACCACCAGAATGTTACATGGAGATAAGATATGGTTACGGAACAACTGGAACTCGAGTAGCTGGGCCTGTAAGAGTTGGCGATCCACTTACTCTTATCATTTACATGCGTAGTAAATACGATGGTTTCGATATCGTTGTTAATGATTGCTACGCGCACAATGGCGGCAACAAGAGGATCCAGCTTATTGATCAATACGGATGCCCGGTAGACGATAAACTTATCAGCCGGTTCCGAGGATCTTGGTCCGAGAGCGGGCTCTTTGAGACTCAAGTCTTTGCCTACATGAAGACGTTCAGATTCACTGGGTCCCCGGCCTTGTACATCGAATGCGATGTCAGAATGTGTCACGGAAGATGTCCGGTAATTATTCCTTTAAAATAATAATCTATTTCTTGCTCTCAAGCAAAGTAAAAATTTTTAAGTAATTTAATTCTAATTTTTAGAGCCAACCATGTCATTGGAGAAACTCTAAAAATGTTGCCAAGCGTTCTTTGGCTATTGATGGTCTCACTACTCCAGCTTCGAGTTTATCCGAAAATGTAAATCTCTTCCAATCGCTAAGAGTTCTTCAAGAAGGTGAAGCCGAAGCAGAAGTATTCCAAAATACAACAACTGCATCTCACAGCGGTAAATATTATTTACTTTATTTTATTTTTTATTAAAACTTCCGGTAAAATTTATCTAACAGATCATCTTTTTTATTTTAATACTATACACCTTAGGGAAGTATTAAAATTTTAAATTGAAATTCACCGCGGAAAAAATAAAACAACCAAGCGCGGTTAATAGTACCAAGAACAATAATAAAAACAAATGGAATATTTTTCCAATTGTTTGAATAAATTATCAACTTTTTTTTTATTTATCTGTAATATTTTAAGAATTCAAGATAATTTAATCTGTTGAGAACCAAAATTACTGTACCACGGGATTTTAAGTAATCGGAATGCGGGCAAATTTAACTTTATATCTGCGCGCGGTGATTTTTCTTGGAACAGGCTAACTGTTTTTTAAATTTCTTGGTACGAAAATTCAATCACTGAGTTTGTTATTGTTTATTTTTTTATTAACATAATACGGAAAATAATACTTTATATTTCTTTAAGCGTACCAACTTATGTTAAAATTTTTTTATATTGATTCTTGAAGCAGAAAATTAGTTCATATTAATTTATAACAATTTTTATACAAAAGTAAACTAATTTTTTAATTTTTTATTAGTAGTTCAGATATTCATGAAAAAATTTTTATTAATTTCCTAAAAATAAGTATCTCTAAATTTTTATTAAAGATCATAATTTTTTATTTCAAAACTTTTTTTTTTTTTTTTTTAATAAAATAGTAAACTTACATGATTACTGTTAATAAGTAGATGCCCTAAACCATTCCATCAATAGTATGCTTATTACATATAATTTCATCGTAATTATAACCTCGTCAATATATAATGACTTAATCTACCAACATTTCAAAGAATTGAAAACTTTTTACTCTTCAATATCGTGTAACACTTAATTGTTTTTCCGGTAAAGAAATGAATAAATAAAAAACGAAAAAGAATTTTAATTGGAAGTTATTTGATAAAAAATAAACCACATAGAGAGAAAAAATTTCTTTTAAAAAATTGACATTGTAACAAGAAATTAATTTGTTTAAAATTGCTGAAGAAATCAAAATTTTTATTAAAGTAACTTTTTTGTTGAAAAAAAATTTTTTTGATTTGGAAAAAAAATATCAGATAGATTTTTTATTAAAAATTGTTTTTTCCCAAATCTAAAAAACTTTTTTGAAAAGAAACTCACTGTGAGAAAAAATCTTTATTTCTTCAGCAAAAAAAAAAATAAATAAAAAAAAACTTTTAAATTAATTATTAAAAAAATTGTTAAAAATTTATTTCTTATTACAAAATTGTTAATTTTTTTCAAATGAAATTTTTTTTTCTTACTTGCAAAAATAATATAAAATATAAATTTAAGTAAAATAATAACTATATTGTTGTTGATTTACAGGAGTAAGTGAAGCAACAGGAGATAAAGTTTGTTTACGATCAACAGTCGTTAATACAATAGTAGGTTTTAGTTGTGGTTTAATTTGCATAATGGCAGGTACACTTCTTGTTCTTTGTTCGAGAATACGACGAGCAGCCAGAGAAAAGCTTCTTAGCGACAGTCTTAGTTATATGACTCATAAAGGCCGAATTAATTAAAAAATAATTACTTGTCTTCTTTTTTTCAAAGAAGATGAATAATAAATAATTAATTAAATTAAATAAACAGAAAATTAAATCACAATGCATAACAACGGAATAAGACAAAATTGTCGATTTATAAAATAAAATGAATATAATATGTATTAACTTTTAATTTATATTTAAAACCGGTACGGGTTTTCACGTTTAATTGATGAAAACCACAAACACAAACCGTTAGAGCGACCTCTAGGGGTTTGTGGGTTTTATTTTATCACGCATTAACTACAATGTGCGATATATAATTATAATAATAAATAATATACAATTATAATCGTAAGAATAATACACGTAATAATATTATGCTATAATGAAGTAATTAATTAAATAAGATTTAATTAGAAGTCTTCCGAATAATTTGCGCTGTTTATCTGTTTAAAATTATTTCTCATTGGTTTTTTTAACATTTTTGTTGAAAGAAGAAAAAAAATTATTTTTGAATCTCTTTTTTTTTTTTATTAAAAAACATTTAAGAAGACAGGCGTATCAATAAACATATCGATAGAATTATAATTTAATTAATAAGCATTAGATGATACAGCAAGACTTGGAAATTATTTTTTTTTATAAAAAATATGAACTTCAGAAGATAAATTTTGGAAAAAAAATTTGTCTTTCTGTGTCGTCTGATAAGTAATTTATAATTAATGATAATGATAATTGAAAGCATTTATCTAAATATAAATAGATACATAACAGCATTATATATATATTTAAATAATTAATTTGACATCATAAATTGAATAATACTTCGTAAAATGATGGTAATAATTAAAATAAAAAAAAAATGTTGCATTAATTAAACTATAAAAGACATGATAATAATTACTAGTAATTATTGTTATTATAATTAAGTGCCTTGACGCGGTAATACGGCCGGTGAGGATTAAGTAATATTTCTCATTGAGTGAAAGCAAATTAAAACTCAGTATCAGACAAAAGTCATAAGGATTCACGCTACGTGCATCTTATTCATTACTTTTTGAGAAACAAATTTTTTATTTCGTTATGAGGATCTAGATAATTAATAAACTATTTTTTGATTGTAATTTTTCTTCTGTTTTAAATTATTATTCAAGAAAAAATGAAAAAAAATTAATTAATAAATATTCTTTCCCCTCACGGCTGTTCCGAGTAAAAAATTATAACTTTTTTTTTTCGTTTTATGATACTTTTATTTTTGCCCAAAATATAATTCTTGTAAATATAGTTTTATTGGCGAATGTATGACTAATCTATAACGAATATTGACTAAATAATGAATAATATTAACAGTAAATATATTCAAGTATTGTAATCATTAATAAAGATATGATAAATGATAAGTGTTCGAGTGTATCACGATAATCAATAATAAAAGAATTACAATGCTAGAAACATGATTAATTGTTTTTTGTTATTTTATTTTTTTTTACCTTATTCTTTTTTCTTTACAGATTATAAAAATTTATTTTTTTTATAATAGACAATTTTAATTTAACTGATAAATTCCAAATTTTACTTTGTTAAATAATGACTTTTGTTAAATTGCACTGTACTTTTAAACTATTGACATTTTTAAAGATATAAGCTCATCCTGATGTTACACTCATCAAGAGCTTTCATTTGAGTACCCACATGCATTTTTGATATATTTTTCATATATACATATATGTAATATATATAAATATATGAAAAATTGATGTGGGTATTTAAATGAAAGGTCTTGATGAGTGTTACATCGGGATGAGCTTATATTTTTAAAAATGTCAATAGTTCACGAGATACTAGGTCATTTCTTAATTATTGACATTTTTTAAGATATAAGCTCATCCCGATGTTACACTCATCGAGACATATATGGAAAATTGATGTGGGTACTCAAATGAAAGGTCTTGATGAGTGTAACATCGGGATGAGCTTATATCTTTAAAAATGTCAATAGTTCACGAGATACTAGGTCATTTCTTAATTATTGACATTTTTAAAGATATAAGCTCATCCCGATGTTACACTCATCGAGACCTTTCATTCAAGTACCCTCATGGCAATTTTTATATATTTTATATATATGGTATTTATGAAATATATGAATATATAAAATATATGAAAAATTGATGTAGGTACTCAAATGAAAGGTCTCGATGAGTGTAACATCGGGATGAGCTTATACCTTTAAAAATGTTAATATTTCTCAAGATAAAAGGCAATTTCTTAATAATTGACATTTTTAAAGATATAAGCTCATCCCGATGTTACACTCATCGAGACCTTTCATTCAAGTACCCACATGGCAATTTTTATATATTTTATATATATGGTATTTGTAAAATATATAGATATATAAAATATATGAAAAATTGATGTGGGTATTCAAATGAAAAGTCTCAATGAGTGTAACATCAAGATGAACTTATATCTTTACAAATGTCAATAGTTCACGAGATACAATGTCATTTCTTAATTATGTATCTAGAGACAGAGCATTTTCGAATGCAGCCTATAGACTTATCATAAATTGACTATTGGTGAGAATGATATATACTTAACGATAAAAAGTTAAAACTTAATTTATCAAAATCAATAAAAATTGCAGATTATGTTAAAATTAATTTAAAGCTTAATAATAATTAATAAAGACAAATTTCATATTGGATATTTTATTAAAATTTTTTATACAAAAATATTTAATTCAATAAAATATTTCACAACAAAACAAAAAAAAATAAAACTTATACTCATTTAAAAATAATAAAACATTAAAAAAATCGATTGTAATCACTGCTTATTCCAAGACTTTAATCACAGCATTTTTTCCTTTTCTAAACATCCGATTTTTCGGGCCAACTGATTGATCATGAAACTCCTGAATAGTTAAATTATTTTTAACGATATCATTTACTTCACTCAAATGAACTTCTTTTGGATACATTGCATCGCCAGGAAACAAATAAATTATCCCATCGGACAATATAATACGTATCTGAAATAAAATTAAAATCATTAGACCAATTACTAACAAAAATTATTTATATTAAATAATTAAAAATAAAATAAAATAATGTAAAACGGATAATTAATCACAGGATAATATAACAGCATGTCCTTTTCGTTCCTCTCAATCGCTTCATCCAATAAATCATTCAACTGATGAATTTTTGAAATTTCATTGATTTGATATTGTTGCGGCGGTGCGAGTTTGAATTCTTCTGATTTATCAACCAACTCTTTAGGAGTTTTCCACTGCAAAATTAATTACAAATAATTTTTTAATCATCAAAGTTAAAATAATTTAACAAAAAATTCCACATGTAAAAATTAAAAAAAATGAAAACATTTTTGGAGGACCAGCAGATAAAATAAAAAGTAAAGCAAAAAAGATGATTCTAAAATAATAATATACCAGGTGTATACAAATAGTGATTATAAACTATTAGATATATTCTATCAATTAGTGATTACCAATTATCAATTGCTAAACATTTTTTTCTTGTTTTGTTTTTCTCTTCTTTCAAATTTTTTCTTTTAAATTTTTAAAAATTTTTTCTTTCCAATTTTTAAAATTTTTTCCTTTTAAATTTGCTATTTATTGTATAAAATCATTACTAAATATTCTACACATGAAAATGTAATATATTGTTGTAAATTACCAAGGACGCTTCTTTACAAATAAATAAATAAATAAATAAATAAATAAAACTATGAATTTTATTAAATATTTTTTTGATTTTTTATAAAAATTCCAAAAATTATCATTTATTAATTTTAGCATCATATTTTTTCTACTCACTATCAAAGCTTCCATTTCTTTGGGGTCAAACTGAGCATCAGGAATCGACTGCAAGCATGCGATGAAAAAAATAGAATTAAAACGTTTTCCACCAAGAAACACTGGCGTTAGCCAATTACTCCACGCGTGCAGAGACCATAAATCTGGATAACACTGTAACGATTCGCACATTTCATAAAATTCAGCTGCATTAGCGTGGACTTTTTTTTGCCAATCAACCAATTTTTTTCCGGTGACTAGAAAAATATTATTATTAGTTTTTTAAATAAGCCAACAAATGACATATCATTAAAACTTATACTATTAATTAAATCTGTTATTATTTATTACTTGTATAATGTTGAGCGTGAGCTGAATTTTTGCCATTAGACGCTGCAATTAAAATACCACATTCCTCAAATGTTTCGCGTATTGCCGTTATCCTCAATGATACTTCTCGAGGTAATTCGTTCGATGATTGTGCTTCGAAAATAATTGGCTTTAATTTTGAAGAAGATGATGTTGAATTATTATTATTGTTGTTGGGAAGTAGTGATAAAAAATGGTTATCATTAAAACCAAATTTTTTGTACAAGCTTTTCCATTTAAAATCTGCGTCAGCTGGCTCTACAACGCCACCGGGGAATACATAATTGCCAGGCATAAATGATGAATCTTTATGGCGTTTTAAACAAAGTAATTTGAAGTCATACTGAAAATAATTATTGTACAAATATCTATTAATAATTGTGCTAATAATTATTATTAATGATGATTATTTTAAAAATAGATATTTAACTGGATAAAAACGGTATTTTTAAGTGATGAATAACTGTTTTAAAATTCTGCTGGTATTAATAAAATTTTATTTTGAAAATTTAAGTAAAATTTATGATAGTGAATTTAACAGATATCTAATAATTTTTTAAATTTTTATAACTAACAACCTGCAGTCACTATGTGACTGCCGAGAATTGTGAACTATAAATAAATAAAATTCTGCTTAATTAAATAACGACTTTAGTTAAATTGCACTCTACTTTCTTAAATATTGACATTTTTAAAGATATAAGCTCATCCCGATGTTACACTTATCAAGAGCTTTCATTTAAGTACCCACATGCATTTTTGATATATTTTTCATACATACATACATATATGTAATATATATAAATATATGAAAAATTGATGTGGATACTCAAATGAAAGGTCTCGATGAGTGTAATGTCGTGGTGAGCTTATATTTTTAAAAATTTCAATAGTTCACAAGATACAAAGTCATTTCTTAATTACG